CGTTCTTGCCAGGCAGCTGCTAGCATTAAACAAAAAAATTCTTTTATGTTATTCCAACGTGCCGATTCACTAGGATCAAAGAAACCACCGTTTGGCAAAGACTACTTCACGATATTCACAGCGACTACTGTACCTATTACTTTGCCACTGCATGCTGTTTTTCGATTGTCGCTCATGACGAGTATACTTGTATCTTCACTCCCTCAGGCGCATTGCACGCGCTTTTGATGAACGAACATACGCTATCAACGAAAACCAGTACTGTTCGAAACGTCTCTCTTCGTGAAGGTCTTATATCCGTTTTGATCTATGCAAATTCGGAATAAGTTATCTTTTTAAGTTAAAGATAATTAATAATTTAGCACTATCCATCATGTCTAAAAAAATGCTTTTAAGAAACTCCCGACTTATATGGAGAACACGCGTTGCCACCAAATCTGCATCCAGCGAAGAGGAAGCAAAGTTACTGCTCGCAACAAATGACGCGGATGTCCTGACGCTTCCTTAAAGAGTAAGTTATGACTTGTCTTTCACTATATTTATATATCAGTTACAACGACCTCGGGCACCTGCAATTTCCAGAGTCCTTCAGCTGTGAGATTATAAAATCTAATCATGGAAGCAGTTAATGCCTTAAAATGCCCAGCAGTTTGAAAATCAGGAGAAATTTCATTTAAAGAGGCCCGAAACTAATAATAATCGATAAATCAGAAATCGACTGTTTTAACTGGCTTTGGATGCTTTATTGTTGAAAATTATTACGATTATCACTTGATTTGCTTTTGTTCGTGCCGGAACGAATAAATAAATAAAACCCAGCATCTGTCGAACCTGCTGTGATTTGTAGGCTGCTATTCGGGTAACTTACCTTCAGAACGAACAGGATGTTGTATCGTAAGATGTTTAGTTCCAAGTTTAGCTTCTCCTTTTGCTGGCATTGTCGAAGAAGCGTCGGAAAACCGACGAATCGCACGTCGTTGATCTTGACGATGATCGGCTTTTCGCACAACTCAGACTTCACCGTGAACAAGAAGGCCATGATCTTCTCATCCAGACCAACAAAGCTTCGGTTTTTGATTAAAGAGATGCGACTGCTGAAAGGTAAAGTGTCAAATGTGAAAACAAATATATAAAGTAATAGTGGACAAAGAGTAGGACTCTGGGAACATTACAGTAATAGAACAGGTGTATACTTGTACCTATGCGAATTACAGTCGCGACTCTGTGAAGTAACAGTTGAAAAATGACATTCAGCATGCGGTGATATAGTGGCAAAGAGGTCAGTTTCAAAATCCGAGAGGCGACGATCCTTAACTTAAGCGCTAATTTCTTTGAACAAGGAATACCACAACAATTTGTTGACTTGTAAACAAAAAAGGCAACATAGTGTTCTGGTGTGGCGAGAATGAGATTTATGGTTACGCTGTCTCATTGAGCTTCTGCAATCTGCCTTAATGTATCTGACAACAGCCCATTCAATGTGATGATCAGAAAACGTTTTCGCTGAACTACTGCTTCAGGACAATGTATTGAAGTCTATAAATGTTGTTAATGTTTAACTTACTCGTTTCGACTGTTCCACACGGAATCGGTTTCTCGAAGGGCATATGGACTTCTGTACGACTCTTCTGTGTAAACAGAAATGCGTAAAGTAACACGCCTATAAAACTGAAACAAGCGCACCTTCTTTTGGTTCTCTGCTGTCGAATTCGTCGTACGGGTATTTAAACAGTATGCGGTCACCTATCGTCCCTTTACAAACGAACATTACACAGAGTAAATCTTCTGCTGTCATTTTCTGAATCGGTCTGAA